AGTAAGAAGACTCTAATCGAGACTGCTCGACTAGGAGATACCCTGAACCCTCCAATCTTATATTCTAATCACTCTGCACTTCGTTTAGGCACACTTACATACTCACGCACGTATTAGAACGCGCTCTGCCAACTGCGCAGTAAGCAGCATAGCAATATTATACGATTTTTGTTGTTGAATAATTTAATTTCTAAGCATACAATCTTAATGAAACTTTCAGAACTTAATCATAATATTCAAATGTATGTACATTTCAAAGCACAAATCTCTAATACTTGAAATACGTCTTTTACAAAGGTGAGGGTGAGGGAGTGGATATAGGGGTGGGGGTAAGTTTAAACAATAATCGAAAATACATATAAATCTACATTTAAAATTTGGAGACTCTAGCTTTAAAAATGTAGCAGATATAAATATTTAACTGATTTTCGATAATATTTTTAATCGATAACAGAATACCGGGACAAATGATCGATTTTTGAAGAAAAACTCGATATACGCGTGGTATACGCCTAGGAAAAACAATTTTTAAGTTTCTAGCTCTTATATCTTCTGAGATCGACGCGTTCAAGCATACTGACTAAGAATGACTGCATATGACAGCAAATAAAATAATTGTTCATTCGAAGCAGATTATGGAAAATACTGTTCATCCTGTAGGCATTTTTGCCGAACAAGCGTCTGAATTGCACAACCAGGTCTATAAATCAGACGGATTTCATCACGCATAACAGAATTCATAATTTCGCTGATGTTTGTAATAGAGCAATAGATACCTTTGATTAGACTATTTCTTCGGCAAATCTTGTTTTTTGGCGTATCAATATTTTTGCTGATCCAGAACTTGAAACTGAAAAATATCAATTTCGATTTTTCAAAGCTCTATTTTAATATTTTTTTTGTGAGCGGTGACACGCCTATTTTTCTAAAACATACATAGTTCTGATGGTATGCATATTTATAATAATAAAATCGGATCAAAATATCTGGCTTAGCTTTCAAGTTATTAATTAATATCTGATAATTTGGATTTTCCCCATAGTACACTGCAGCCAATGCGTGTTTATACGTGCGTGCGTATACCTATTATTATCTATCATTATCAGTTGCTCTAAGGGTTCAAGGGATGTCGTAGTTGAGCAGTCTTGACTATTGGTATTAAGTGTTGATAACAAATTAAGAATGCAATAAAAGTTATAAAAATCCAAAGATATTTTAGCATGAATACCAGACCTTCAAATTTTAGCCCTAGCACGGCTATAAAGCGTACTGCAAATGAATTTCGATTGTCTTCAAGCTCTGTTCTATCAAATTAAAACATTATGTCCCATAAATCTTTATGACTGTAGCTGCCAAGCATAAAATATGACCATTGCATTCAGACTGCTTTTACGGGATGCTGAAGAAGTATTTTTCTGAGGCTTCAAAATGCTGCAGCTTTTTAATTTGACGGTTAATAACATTATATGTGAACGGACTGTGCTGACGTTGAAATAATGCAAAATTTGGGACAAACAGGAGCAACGACGTGTTACTCATCATGTCCAAGGCAGGCTTGAAAGGCTGGTCTTCAGTGAGGAATAAGTGCATATGTCAAGGATGTTCTGAAGAACTGTTATATGGACAGAAAACAGCTTCTTAGAGTAGAACTCATATAAAAAACTAATTTTTTGATCAAAATGCTAAATGCCCGTAGAGAAGAAACCCTGGTAGAGACTCTGTCATGCTCTAAGGACTCGTAGCATTCAATGGGCTAGATACCTTTATTCCTATCACTGACTCAATGAAATAAGGCCAATATTTGAGTATCCTAAATGATCATGTTGTTCTTTTCGACGATCGTCATATCCGAAAATTATTTTTTCCAGTAGTATAAAAGACTAAGTCTAGAGCCTATTGAAACGGAAAATATCAATTCAGTTCAAGAAAACTAAAAAAGAGGCAATTTCTGAGGTTGGGGGATATGTCCTGATATTTTGCAAAATTTAGTGAATTCAGGTCCGAAACCTGATCAAAATTTTATTGTAGATTAATGAATTTGACTAAATTTTCCTTCACGTAGTAGCATATATTTAAGTTTCTATTAGTTATACATATATAATAGAGTTAATAGTAAAAAAAAACCTTCGGAATAAGGCTGTAAGAAATTATGCTCAAAATGTGGAAACTTTTTCGTCAAAATAATTATGCCGACTATATATATACACAGTGAGTAACAGTCATATTCGTTTTTTTTAGTTTTTAAATTCGAACAGCAATAAATATTAAATTTTAATTGAAATTAAAAAAGTGAAAATGGGAAATAACCTTTCTGATAGTAGATTGAATATGACTAAAAAAATTATGTATAAACTGAAAAAACTCTAAATTTGACGTTATTTTAGGATATACAAAATCATCTAAGGGACCCTCTAAAATATAATAGATAACATACCAAATATTAAATATGAACCGTTTTTAATAGAACTCAAATTTGGTCAGTTTTTAAAGAAAAAAGTTAATACTTACAGTACCTAGCTAATAGTTATAGTTCCATATAAAATAACAGCTGAGTTTCATTAATAAAAAAGAAACGTAAATAATAATTCTTGTTTCTTTTCCTATTTTTTGTTATAGACAACTGTCAAACCTTTTAAAAATACATAAACTTTTGAATTAGTAAATACATTTCAAACTAATATAAAATAAACTGACAGATGAGCAAATAGTTAAAAAAAAATTGCATATGTACATACACATATGCATATATATTTATACAATATATAGGCTTTTAAAGTTTGCAGGTGCATTTTGTTTTCGGCATACCGAAAGCATTTGTTTTCCTCTCGTTCTACTTCTACTTTGATGAGTATTTCGGCTAATTAGTTTTATGTTTACATATGTATTCTACGACTAAATACACGTACGCACAAACACACATTTATACATATACACATATCTTTAAATTCATTTCGAACAATACCAAAACTCTTTGTTTCCTTTGGTTCCACCTGTTCTTTGCCGCTACTAATCATAATCAGCAGTTCCTGCATCCACCTTTGATGAGAATACCAATGCACGCATAGACGTAGCCGTGGCGGGGGTTGGCGGCAGCAGTACCATCAGCAGCAATTGTTCTGACTTACAAATACGCGTGACAGACAGATTGTCTTTCTTTAAGATCGATTCTTCGACTAATGAATTGCCGCTTTCGGATATTGATTTTTCATTGACGCCGGGCACACCAAAGTGCATGAATATGACTTCAGCTTGTTGTAATGTGATGCACAAACGACATAATTTACTAAGCATGCGTCGCATGGTTAGCGGCGAGGAGCCTGAACTTGAAGGTATGCAATTTCCACAAATTTCCCCGCTGGCAACAAACGAGCGGCCCTTAAGCTGCAACTGCAATAGCAATTTCAATTCGTTAGCATATGGGCATGCCAAAAGTCTGATGCAGCTGGCTATAGTAGAGCCTTTGCTTACCAGCACCAGCGGCACGATTATTACAGCGGCTGCAGCATCAGGAATTGTAACTGCAGCAGCTGCCGGTAGTTTTCAAGATGATTTTCCGTTATCGAACTCGGCGCCTGCGGTACTTCTCAGTGGTATGCTTCAACAGCGCCCCACGAGCGATGTAGTTCTGCCCCCCATGGGTAGGTATGGCACCAACTCGCCAACGGCTTCTACGCTGCACCTCTGCATGGACATGGAGATGCGCCAGTCGCATCATCGCCAATTAGAACGAAGCCAGCGTAGGGCTACTAACCATTCGTGTGGCCAGCTGTCAGTATTGTTGCCGCCGACTCCAGTCATAGTACCAGTCTTGTCAGATAACCCCTTCATTTTTGGTATGACGGCTGCATCAGCTGCACCAACTGAGAATAGTTTTATCAGCTGCTTTGCACCTATTGCAGAGCATGTCACCCCTATGACCATGCTAAGTGAAGCCGTTTTTGAGCAACAGCCAAATTATAATATACCCACCGTGTTAATAACAGCGACACTTAGTTCGACAGCAGCAACTCCTGTCATCACCGAGACAATAAGTAGACAAGCAATTGTTGCAGCTGCAGAAGCAGCAGTAGTAAGAGCAACTATATTGACAACAACAACAGCCCCACCAAACCCCATAACAACAATTACTTTGCCCAACAATACTTTACAGACAATTCGTTCTAATCAATCCATTACTAATCAATTGAAACCAACCGATTCCCTCTCAATTGACGCACCAAAACTACTACACACCAACACCACAAACACTCACACAACAACAATCCTGACGTACACAACCACAATGAACAACAAAAAAAACGTCAACACAACGCCTCCGTCTTGTACCAATACCATCGTCACAGATAGCACCGTTTCGGTCTCGGTATCGGCGTCTGTATCATCGGCTAATTCGTCCACATCATCGCGTCGCCAAAGACACAGTATTGCCGGCCAGATGTCCTATATGAAAATGTTGGGTTTCGGTGGTTTTAGCAAAAAGATGGCAACCAGCGCGAATAGCCTTTTCAGTACGGCAGTTATAAGCGGCAGCTCATCGGCGCCAAATCTGCGCGATATGATACCGGTATCATCATCCGGTAAGTACACGCACATATTTACATATATGTATAAACACCGAGGTACATCTAAACTCAAATTTCTACGCACACATATTCCCACACCCCTAACCACGCCCAACTTCGCATACGTACATATATACGCACATAGACGCACATCTAAACACAAATATTTAATCCTCATGCATATGCACACAGGCCCATCCTCAAGTAGCTACACCATCGATCAATTTTTGTTCCACATTATCTCCACGCACACACATGCAAAATTTGAGATATGTTACCGAGCTCTGCATACTAATATACAATATAAATATTTTATTTTAGTTTTAAAATTTTTTTTAGACCCCAAACCCATTGAAAATGGAAAATGGAGGGTATAATGGTTTTGTTAAAAGTATGTAACAGGCAGAAGGAGGCGTGGCAGGCCCCAGAAAGTATATACAGTGAGTAACATTAATATTCGTTTTTTTTTTTTTTTTCAACTTCAAACGCCCATAAAATATGAAATTTTAATTTAAATTAAAATGTTTAAATGTTTAAATGATTGTAAGTTGAAATATTACCTTTCCCATTGACATAGAAATTAAGATAGTATGCTAAACAGAATTATCCAAAATTATACAAAAATAAAAAAAAAGAACACAAAATTTGGCCTTACTTTAATATTTGGTTTTTTCTTTAACAACTGACCAATTTGGAGTTCTATTAAAAATGTTGATATTTAACATTTGGTATGGCATCCATTATATTTTAGAGTGTCCCTTAGATGTTTTTGTATAAAAGTTACACTTCTTTTTGTGTCCTTGGAGCCGATTTTGGCCCACATCTAAGGGACATTCTAAAATATAATGGATGCCATACCAAATGTTAAATATCAACATTTTTAATAGAGCTCGAAATTGGTCAGTTGTTAAAGAAAAAAACCGAATATTAAAGTAAGGCCAAATTTTGTGTTTTTTTTTTATTTTTGTATAATTTTGGATAGTTCTGTTTAATATACTATATTAATTTCTATGTAAAGGTAATATTTCAACCTACAATCTGGCATTTAAACTTTTTAATTTAAATGAAAATTTCATATTTTATGGGCGTTTGAAGTTGAAAAATAAAAAAAAAAAACGAATATTAATGTTACTCACTGTATATGATCTTGATCAGGGCGAAGAGTCGATTTAGCCCTGTCCGTCTGTCTATCCGTCCGTCCGTCCGCTTGTCCGTATGTATAAACGCGTCGATCTCAGAAGATATAAGAGTTAGAGACTTAAAATTTGTTTTCGTAGGTCCCTTTATATCACGCGCATACTCCCGATATTTTATTATCGATAAAAATCCTTATCGAAAGCTAGTGAATTAATTATATCTTCTACACCTTTAGAGCTAGAGTCTGCAAATATTAAATGTAGACTTAGGTATTTTATAAAATTTCGATTTTTGTTGTAATTTACCCCCCACTCCTATATCCACTGCATTAGAATGTACATACATTTGAACATTATGATTATGTTCTCAGAGTTTCATTAGGATCGTACGTCTAGAAATAAAATTATTCAACAAAAAAATTCTCATAATATTGCCATTACTGCAGCGCAGCCCTGCTGCTTACTGCGCAGTTACCAGAGCGCCTGCTTACTAACGACTTGTGCTTTGGCAAATGTATGCATATTCATGTTATAATCATAATCTGAAAGTTTCATGAAGGTAGACAAGAAAAGTTATTAAATAATTAAGTTCCCATAGTAAGCCCTGCAGGCAATGAGTGTTTAGGCGTACGTGTATATGCTGTGTATGTGTGCGTGTGTATGTGTGTGCGTGTGTGTGTGCGTGTGAGTGTGTGTGTATGTGTGTGTGCGTGTGTGTCTGTGCGGGTGTGTGTGCGTGTGCGAATTATTGAAATATCAGCTCGAAGGGCTCAGTTGATCTCGTAGTCGAGCAGTCTCGACTAGACCTTTCTTGTTTTAGATTTTATCTATTGAAAAAAGAATAGAAATTAAGGTTTAAATATCTTATAAAGTAAAATGCCGATTTTGGTAAAGGCATTAAATGTGTAAATGTGTGTCCAGAGATTTAGCCACGAACTATGTGATATTTCAGCAAGATAAAAATCAATCATATGCGACAATGTACACACATAAGTTTACTCTTTGTCTGAGACTTACTATATATACACGCATTCCACTAATATTCACATATTAATATGCCTCAATCCTGTAGATCGAATCCGTTTTCATATTTGATCCCATGCCCCCTTCATACTTTTCATATATTATATTGAACCAAAGATAAGAAATTATTATTGTTTTATATGAATATGTGCCCCGCGCTTAGGATTCGGAGATGTACCACCGATCCGGCCCCTGGAGACACTGCACAATGCTCTATCGTTGCGCAAGCTGGATAGCTTCCTGCAGGATATGGTCTTGGCACAGATATTTAAGACACCAACCGGGTCTCCACCACGCATCCGTGAAGGAGCTGCAGGCAGTAATTCGGTGTCGCTGCTGACACCTGGTATTGGTCAGCATGTATCGGTATCTATGCCCTCGGATTCCATGGCTGCCTTTTCCTCTATGATTGAGCCAAGAGATGACAGCGTTTCTGCAACTCAACTAATAGGTCGAACCGCTCCCATTTCTGGCAAATGCGACCAGTCTAGCATTAGTGATCCAAATGATGATCAAACGCAATCGTCGGATTTCGATGATCCCAACGATGTGGTCATGAAGCATATATTACCGGATGAAAAACAGCGTAAGTTCTGTAGGCGTAAGTCAAGAACCAGTTGGCGTAACTGAGACCCGCATCAACAATAATTCTCCTTAAAATTTCGACTAGTGCGTTCCGACTTTAAACTTGCCATACTTTAACTTGAAGCTTTTTTATGCTCTCAATTATTTACCTTTTCAAAATATTTCAAGTCTACTGATATCAAATGATATGTGTAAATTTTGTTTTCTGATTTTATTGTTTTATTTTCTTTCTTTTGCTTTAATTTTTCAGTGGATTAAACCATCACATAATTGTTTGTTGATTATGATTTGAGTACCTATTAATAGATCTTTAATCGTACAGAGTTTACAAATTTTTCTATTGCGGTGGGGCACAAATCTATATAAATATGGCCATTATAATAATTATACTCATTCATGAAAGTGAATTAGTATATTGGTTTTGTGCAATGTCCGTCTGTCCGTATGAACGCAATTTTTTTCGGCGCTATTGACGCTAGTGACTTGAAATTTGGAACACATACTCGTGTATATCTCCAATTATAAAGTGTTAAAATTTTCTCGATCCGCCCACTACAGGCATGGCAAGATCCGCGTCGACCATCCAAGCTCACGAGCTATGGCGGATATATCTACGCCAATTGTATTTCGCAGTATTCCGCAGTCGGTAGCGCCCGTCTTCAGCATCTTATGGGCTCAGATATATAATTATACTCATTCACGAAAGTGAAATGAGTATATTGGTTTTGTGCAATGTC